AGACGAACCTCAGCGACACGTTCACATTCGTGTAATGGTACATATTCCAACCAAATGGTGAAAAGTAGCGGAAGAGCAAGGAGAATTAGGGTGACAAGGACGGAGAGCGAGTTCGGAGCAGCATGGCAGGCAAGAAGGTGATGCTCGGCGAGGACTGACCTCGGCCGGCTATGCAAACACTGACTCGACTTTAAGCGACTCAATCGAGCAGGTCAACAAGGAAACGGAGTAAGTTTGAGAGATGCTCAAAACATTGGGAACTTTAAACCGTTGGCTCCTTCTGAGATGCGCCATGCATTCAACAACCATTATGTAACGACCTATAGAATTAATCGCATAGGCCAACCAGTGATGGTATCAGTGTTCTCACTCTCCCAATCGAAACTGGCACCAACTAGCTGACCCTTACAATCTGATTCTGGAACTGTCTGTGTTGTGTGCTTGTGGCGCTATTGCTATGTGACAAGAAGAGAATCGTAATTCGCCGCGGTGGTGGGCCTCCGCGTGCGACGGCCGCGGCGCCGCAAATGACGATGGTTCCAGGTAGTAGATAGCGACAACAGGCAATTCAGAACCGAAAATAGTCATGAATGCCTATGATGACGGGGTCTACATAAAGTCCGGTGCTCTACTCGACAGCTTAACACGAGTACCTTTACCCCAAAGTTCATGGTCAGAGGTTCCTAGAGCTTTCTAATAAAACAAAATCGTAACAACCACATGATAGCGAACTTCTTCGGTTGAATCCAGGGTATGGAAGTAGCGTCGCGGGCTGCCCAAATTTTTTCCTTGGCGAGCGATAAGACTGAATTCATATTGCGCTCGTTAGTAATGTTTTTTCCACCGAATGTTGCCGCCTACTTGCTTCAACAAGTGGTGAAGAACGGGCCGAGGGCGCGCCGAACCCAGCTGCCCTGACACACCTCTTATCACAGCGAAGCAAGGCTGTAGTAAGCTTTCTTTGGAAAAAAGCCTGTATCATATATGGCCACGCAATTCCTACTCAGCAGCTTGCAAAGACTGTGAAATAATGACGTTAAGAAGAACTATAGTGTACTTCTACCGGCCCACGTGTGCCATCTGATGAAAATGACAGCGAGAAAGATGAGTAAAAATTGTCACGCGTTCAACCTTTGTTTATTTATTTGTGCTATCGTAAGTGGGTGTTCACATAGAAACTTTGGTACTAATACGATCACATCATTTGTCCTTGCTTTAAGAGTTCAGTTCTTCCTTCTATCATCTTCTTTCCTTCTTCCGCTTCCTTGTTCTCCTGCTTTCAAAAGCTCGGCGAAAAGATGCTGAGAAAATGCCTCTAGACCCTCCCAACGGAAAAATAGCCGGTTAAATGCCCTGTAAGTTTTATTTCCTGTGCGTTATGTACCTTTTTCAGAACTTTCTTCTTCGCGCCCCGCTTGCGATTAAGCTGGCGTTTTCTGGTGTGATGTTGGAAAAAAAATTTTCTTATCGGGAAATGTATTGCAACAGTTTAGAAGATAAGTCTTTTTCAGGAACTCCCTAATTTTATTATTTCTCTCACTTTCTCGTAGCGTAGTTTATGAATTTTTAGATATACTTGTTATTTAGAGTTACCTGTCAGTAGAAATCTCTGGATCGCTTTGTATTTCGTGGGAATAAGTTTCTACTTAGAACTCGAGGACTCGTGTTCCGAACGATAACACCGGCTGAATAATTAGTTTCAGATGTGTCCCATCAGAAATGGAAGCGTCTGAAAGGGACAAATCGCGCGATGCGAACGCGCGAGCAGCAGCCGGTGCGTTCTTGGCCGGTTTGAAGACGAAGAACGATGAGAAGCGAGTGAAAACCGCTAAAGACTTGTTCAAGTAGGTTTCTATAATTCTGATAGTAAGCCTTATGTTATTCCATTGAGTTAGGGCAGAAAGGCCCTGGTCAATCGCCCTTCCCTGTAGCTGAAAGTACCACTTGGCCCCGCATCTCTGTCCCTTTCCCGAACCAAGTTTTAGTCTGAGAGCACAGACGACCGGACTTGCCAAGAGATAAGAATCAAAGGTCGCAATCTTCTACAGGCCTAAGCCTCGGTTTGGGAATAGATGCATGAACTCTTCCCACCCCCTCCCCCCTTATTACGTGAGCGCCCAGAGATTCCTCGCTTGTCAATCAGTTCTGCGCAGCATCTCCCACACTTTACAATAGAGAGAACATTTGTCGTGGTTTTAAACTCTCTGATTCTCTGCTCAAAGGAGCCCCCTCCTCCTTATTTCAATCGCGCCGCCTTCATTGGATCCTGAAGCAAAGGTAGCACCTCCATGAGCAGCCCGGCGGTGTGGCGTGGATGAAATCAGTCCAGGCACGGCACTTCCTGCCACAGGAAAAGGATTCTGCGAAACACGAGCCTACCTTCTTTACCATCCCCCATCCTACCTACTATTATCTTAAAATTTGAAACTTCCTAACTATTTTCCAAATTTTTCCCCAGTTTTTCCACCACGAGCGAGGGGAGGGGTGTATAGCTCAAGAACCGAAAACTTTTTCTCAAAGGCGAATTCGCCGATGTATTGAGTCCAGGTCATCTAGTCCTTTCATTTCTTGGGAGGACTCGACAAATAAGCGACAAACACTGCCAACATGAGCGACAAAACTTTTGCACATCAGGAGTTTGTTTTGGGAGAGATTAAACCACGACCAGCATGTCTGCTCTTTTGAACTGTATTCGAAGAGGTGGGGGGGGGGGTGGTATTTCATAAATACTGAAAACTTTCAGAATGAAAATGGTTGCAGAGTTTAACAGTGAAATTCGCTATGAACTTGTCCTTCTACTCATCACACCTTTCCACTTTGGAGAAATCGTGATTGCGAAGTGGGATACCCTCGAAAAGGATAGCGTACATATTGTCTGGTTCGCTGCGGATGAAGAGGCGCATACTGCGGGATGGGTTTGGCCTAACCTACACCTCAGTCCCTAAAAGTTGTTGAGGCGGGTAAGTGACAGCAGTTGGTGGATACGAACCACATGGTTCAGTATTGTCGCTTGCTCGATTCAACAACTGGTGAAAGACGGGTTTGGCGTCGCGCCAAACCCATTTCGCCAGACACGCCCCTTCATCCGCAGCGAACAAGACTACATTGATCTTGAGAAAAGAATAATTGAATCGAATATGACTAGATACGTCGTAGCTGACCATCTACTGTTCCCCAGTTTTCCACTTCCTCAATGTTGCTCGCTTAAAACGCTGCTCTGGGTAGGTCTTAAACATTCTTAGGCAATAGAATACCTGAGAACTCGATTATCTTAACAGAACTGCGACTTTGTAATTCTGTACAGTTCATAAATCATAGTCACCGTTGTGAAACGTTCTGCATTATGATTGACCAACTATTCCTTATAGGTTTGTGGCTGGTGAGCTGAAGGATGAAGCTCCTGAATATATGCAGGAGTTTATATCGTTTCTCGACACGAAGAGTGATCAGGTACTTTGCAGTTCTATATGTTTCGAATAGCTTTTTTTATTTCATAAATAACTAGGGATTAGTTTTTATTCCTTTGCCCTGATGTAAAGAACCTTATTCGATGTTTTTATTCCTTCCGAAAACCTCTCTGCATCTGTTCACGCATCTTTTTCAGAGTGCGGTGCATGAATGTATTTATAGTCCCGATTTGGACGAGAAGAAAGCTGGCATTTTCTTGATAGGTATGTTAAGGAAATGATTGTTTGTTAGGAAGTATTGAGTTTTGGTCTGGCCACCACTGCATCCTATCGATTGTTGCGACATCGGAAACGAGAGTCAATGCTGACGTTTTAGTTGTGAAATTTCGAGGGAGCGAAAGGGGTTCTGCTTTTCAAAGGAACATGTTCGAGTGCTCCCTGTGATAACAATAATGTAATGAATCTTTTTATTGAAGAGAACTGGTTGGGGAACGCGTTGTTTTATTACTTGGTTCTTGAAACTTGGCGCTTCTAAAAGTAAAGAATCCATTCACCGATGGCGGATCTCGTTTAATGTCTTGGCTTTCTTACTTCTGGATGCGCCATGCAATTTACCTCCATTCGAAATCGTAGTGACATAATGAAAAAGATCTGATCCATGGACTGAATTGTGGGGACCTGCATACTAATATGTCAGTGTTTTATGCTGAACAAAGTGAGCCGATTGCAGGGGTGTATAACAGAGCTGAACTGCGCGGTAGGCGTTCCTAAGTTCGGCCCTCCCCCACCCCTCCTCCCCCGATGGGGAGACGGGCAAGGGAAGCGTAAATTGCCGCTTCGTCGCGCGCGGCAATGGGCGCGACGTTTCCTTGATTTGCACTACCCTTTCGATTGGAGCTCGCATTTCATGTAGGCAAGTTCATATGGACACTTATGTCTGTTTTTACAGACTTTGTCTATTCTCGACCTGTACCACCCAAAATCGTCGTCACTAGCGGGCTGACGTCGCACGCGACGCCCCAGGCGCGGCGGATTACGATTCTCTTGCCAGTCCCCCCCCCGCTCTCCTCCACCCCGATCGTGTGCGTGGTAAGCGATGCCTTTCATCATTACATCGCCTCTTCCCTTTGTGCTAATACCACTGCGGTCGTTGGTGTGAGGCTCTGTTCATATCTTGCGTCAGCGTTTTGAGCCTTTTGGGTGGAAAGGGAAGTACAGGTATTAATCCAGAGTTTTAAAAGAAGCGCGAGCGTTCTGAGCGAAGTCCAACGTTCTAAGCGAAAAGAGTAGTATATGTATCGATGGGCGCTCGAAACGTCATTTCTCTCAGACTAGATTAATGCCTTCACTTTTCGCTCAAAATACCGACGAAGAGTATGAACGCAGCCTGAGAATCACTGTTTCAGTATGCCTAGCTGAGACATCAATCGATGGCGAGTCGAATAGGGTGGTCCGGTTCGCTAACTTCCTGTTGAAGGTACTCACAATGCCAAATATGGATGAAGCAGGAATGGAACTAGCTGCAAGAGCTCTCGCTTTTTTGATTCAGGTGACCATTTCGATTGACGACTTTCAGGAACTTGAATTTCCCATGTTATTCTGGATTTTGTGCATCCCTTCGCAGTTTCCTCATAGTCTCAGATCGCCAGTACGTAAATGCGGGTATCGTGCTTGTGGGTTCATCATCCTTGTATAATTGTCGCAATGAATCTTCCAGTGGGATGGGTGGGGTCTTTCTGATGCTCATTTTCCGTTCTACTACGGTAGTTGCACCCAAATTGACCATAAAAACAGCAGCAAGCTGCCTGGTCCGTTGGGTAAGCAGTTTCGAGCCTCTCTAAAGACCGAGAAGGAAAGAGCTAGACGCATCTCTGACGAGGTAAATCGCTTCGCCGACTCCTATGATGGTCAGAGCGCCGTTCACGTATGGCTGCGTTCATACTTTTCGCCTGCGTTTCGGACAAGAAGGAAAGCATAGTTTCCGGTCTAGCAATTTGGTAGAAACGCTTTCATTCTCCAAAACGATTGAAATGCTCAGCAACGGCAGGCGAAATTATAGGGGCCTATTCTGATTCCCTCGATTCTGTGTATCTAAATAGAAAATGAAAATATGGTGACTGCAGTCTGTTCGTGTTTCTGGGGATTCCAATCGTTGATTTTAATTCAGTTATATACAAAATGTGACGTTTCTTGTCCAAGTACTTCCAAATCATATGCTGCAGAGTTGGTTGAGAAGTGCCTCGATCAGTGCCTGGAATGGTTAGAGGTGAGCGTTTTGATAATATCAGAATAGCATTGGGTGAAGAAAGGTGCTTGCTGTTAAGGAACCAGTCCGGAATGAGCAGCGACGTCTAGCATCAGTATTGCTCGCCAGAGAGCTTGCTATGTTTACGTCAACGTCGTTTTTTCTTCGTGCCAATGTGTTCTTCAAAAGTATCTTTACAGTACTCAGGGATCCAAAGGTAACGAGTTTCAAAATTGCACTGCAGTTAGTTTGACAACTTGATCTAGTCCTTTGGAGCTAATTTTTATTATTATCACATATTCTGAGCTTTTTGGTAGCTTTTCCTTACTTGGATCGTTGTCGGCAACATAGGCTAGGAACTCGAAAAAGCTCCAGTTGTTAAGTACAAAAAAAATACTTCGAGTTCCAATAAGTTTCGTAAGAGATTGTAGGTACGTTATATTCGAGACTGGTTAGAGAATGTTGCGAATTTCAGCCACAAATCCGAATCGCATCTATCAACGCTCTTCATGCAGCCCTGACCATAACTTCAGCACGGGAGGCCAAGCTCAAGACAGAATGGTACACGGTAAGTTCGATCCCTAGAAGCTCGACCATGTCATGCTTCAAGTTTTGGACCAGTTTTCCTGTATCATCGTTAGACGGGCGGCGGTGGTGTAGTGACAAGTTGCAGACTCACTACGCGCCCGGTCCGGTATCATGTCGGATTGGCTCTTGCCCTAGGCCCTCTGCCGTCTGCCTCCGGATACGCTAAATTGCTACCAGAGTAGTTTCGGAGGATAAGACCACTGACGTTCGGCTGATCCGCGCAAGTCATTTTGTGCCTATATCGCATTCAAATAAGCCCCCAGATGATGTAGGCAGAATACGTGGCGCATCCCAAAAAGATACTGATCAATAACGGGAACCTTCCTTCATTTTTCTGCCATTAGGGGGGTTCTCTCTATTGGAGATTCTCCATTGCATTTCCCTGCATTGTTCGACTATGACATCTCCAAAATATCATTTTCATTGACGCTTGGGGTTATTGGGGTTCTGCAGTGCGCTTATCTCGAACAACAAATTCTTTCTTGGCGCTAGCATTAGTGAATAGTAATGAGTGATGAGTGTAGTATTCTTGATCATAGTACTGTGTTAGCGAAAAAATGAGATTTTGGGCTCATAGGAGTCTGCATGTGTCAACTTCTTAAATGGATTTGGAAATTTTCGGTCAGCATGCAAAGAAATTTATATGCAAATTACCCCTCGCATTACGTATGGCGCGATGTTTTAAGATTAAGGACACAAATAGCGGCATACCAAATTGTTTTTGCTTTGTTTCGAGTGGTGCTTATTAGCCTTATTATAGAAATGCTACAATGAAGCACTAAACACTATGAGAGTCACCGAACTATCCAAGGACGACCGTACCCATTCCATGCTGCTGGTCAGTTTCAAGGCTGAAGGCGATTTTTTCCTTAGAGTTTGGATATTTTTGTGGAAGTACATGTTTTTGTTAAAGGTTATAAATGAGCTGGTTCGCATCGCCGACGCAACATTTGAACGGACGCGTTTGGAAGCACTCGATATTCATCAAACTGAGACATCGATAGCGGCTCCCATTGACTGGTTAACGCAACCAAGGTGAAGCTTTTCTTATCAGAACTACTGCTGATACTACAGCTGTTTATTATCGTGCTAGAGCTCCGAACTACTTTTCAATGGCTTATTTTTGTCTCTTTTCCGCTTTTTTGTCTACAGTCATGTTGTAGTAGTCGCGAGCTAAGATAACTGTTCTTCAAATTTCATTTAAGTCAACGTGCAAACGAGTATATTACTTCTTCAGGGTAGCCAGCACCGTTGAAAGCAGTACAGCTCGTGCCCTTGTAATAGCTAACTTTGCCGAGGTTCGTTTATTTGTTTATGTTAGTATTTGCAAATAGGCTGCCACAAGAGTTGTGGGGTTCTAAAGTGTCACTTCATAAGTAACATTTCTCTCAGATTTCCGTTTTCAGATTTGTGGACATGCTAAAGCAGCGGCGTTCAGTTGCAATCGATCCGTCCCGGTACATCAAACTTTGCTGGAACTTTTTCCTCGTCTATCCGCATGGGATCAGTGTGACCCAGCGCTGTGCAAGGTCATGTTCGAACATGCGAAGAATATGTATGCTTTTTAAATGTTGACTGTAACTGAGCAATCCATTTGTAGAGGTTCTAAAAGATTTATCATCTGTCGTGGATCGAGCAAGATGTCCTGCGACATTTTGAACGAAATTAAAGCGAATATTTCTGACCGTAATGACCATACACGTTGAAGCCTCTAGAAGTGCTACACACTATTCAAGGGCTAGAATTTTAGGAAGTTCTATAACTCTTCTCTAGAATAATCTGAAAGTGCCGCAAGACATACTGCTTAGCCAGATAGTATCGCTACTGTTCTGATTCATTTTCAGAGTGCAGAAGAATGGAAACGCACTGGTAGCTCTAGGTTTGTTGATGCTGCAGAATCCGGAACGATTCCGCGGTAATATCGGGCAAATGATGATGGTCGTGACTGACATGCTGAACACTGCCGTTTCCAAGTGAGTCACTATTACTCTTTCTTAACTCTCTCTTTCTTTTTCGCTCTTTCTCTTCCTCTCTCTCTCCGAAAATCCGCTATTTTTTCCGCAAAATTAATTTAACTACAAACTAGGAAGTGTCCAAAAAGAAGGAGTGGGAGACAGTTTCTGCTTCAGTCGCTACAAAAGTTTGTCTGTGTAATTGTTCACGTTCGCAAGCATATTCGTTTGGCTTCCTACTGTTCTTAAGTTCTTAGGAAACGTGCTCCGGAGCCATCTGTGTTCATCTTCCTGACCCTATTTGTCAAGGCATACAAACAGTCAGTGATGAATGAAATAAAGCAGCTATTCGGTCTACTATTCAAAACGGGTCTCTCTAAAGGTTTGTTTACCATCTATTAAGTTTTTCAGTATATGGACGCATTTTCAAATGCTGCTCTCCAGGGTGACTTTTTCAGACGTACGTGTAAACCAGCGCCATGTCTTTTTGTTTAGCCATAGCAGTCGCATCATATCGCCTGCAATCGCTAATGCGCATGTCTTATAACTGCTGAAATGGGCACTTGTAAGGTGATTTGAGATGCGCTGGAGTCCCGCAGCAATGCGATCTGGTCCACGGAGTGCTGAGAGTGCGCTTTAGAATGCTGCCCATCTAAAATGCGCTACGCACACTGCTTATGCTCTTTTTCGTACTTTTTTCTCACACTATAGGCTGTTCTGTGACGTGGCCTTTGTCTTCAGCATCAACCATTTCAACGCACGCCATACCCGAAATAGAGTAGCCCGATACTTTGAGTGCAATCTACTAGATGTTCAGGTCTCACCAGTGTTATGCATGAGATTGTACGCCATATCAGCCAATTGCAAATGGATGTACAGGATGGATTAATGAAGGAGTTGTACATGATTTTAACGGGTTTGTCACTCAATTCATCTTAATTTTAAAATCCAATTAGAACCCATTTTAGGTTGTGTTCTACCGAGTAAGCTCGATCCACCGAAAAAGCCTGCCCTCCCTTCGCAAACGTTGCAGGTCAGAATTTCTCGAATTTCAGTGTGAAGATAGCGTTCTGGAAATAACTGATGGATAAGTATTCGTTTTTGATCTTTCAATTTGCAGGTGTCAAATGTTCCCCTCACGATACTAGCATTGGATACGCTTGGCGAATTTGATTTTCAAAGACATTACTTGGAGATGTTTATGCAGTTCATTTCCGACGTAGGATTTTGGATATTGCGTGGGTTAGTGTATGTTTCCGGTAACCCAAGGGTCATATTTCAGGGATATCTTTTATGTGATTCTGTAGCGGTGCGATTAGCTGCCGTTAGGTGCTGTGCGGCGATATCGAAGCCGTTTGTGAAGGTGAGGTAGCCATCAAGCCAGTTATAGCTTTTTTGAGTTATGGTACTGCTGTAGTGCAATTGTAATGGTTCAGGTATATGAAAAAGTGCATCGCGAACATCGCCAATGGGTGTTAGCTCTTATTCATGGAGTTCTCAGGAGTTTAGTTAGCGCTGGAGTTGTTGATCCTCGTAAGTGCATTAAACATCGAATTTCTTTATCTGTCGTTACTTTTTATCTATTTCTTTTGCAATATTCATTGCAGATTTCTGTTCCTTTCTAGTTTCCGCTTTGTTCATTCCATTTTGTACATTCCTCTGGGATTTTCGTTCTGTGCCCCTTTTCTACACCTTGCTATTTCCTCAAATTTTCTTTACAAGTAAAACTACATGGCGGGACAAAGAAGTCCACTACCCAGCTCTTCGAGACGAGGGCGGAGATAACTCTTGTCGTCTGCCCTTTTTCAAAGCTGAGCTTGTCCAGGGAAAGGATCACTGTCTCGGTGAGGAGCACAGAGAATGCACCTAGACTGGCCGCCGCAGCACCCCTCCCCCCGCCTCCACTACAATAGCATCCAGGTTCCTCACATTAGAGACAGCCTGTAAACTCAACCCAAGGATGGTTCTTTCCATGTGCGAGGTGAATGGGTCCGACGCTGCTGTAGCGTGCCATATTCATCGCTCAAAGCTGCGTAGGAACGAGACTGAAGGGTAGTGATCAGATGCCGTCTCCCAGTTCAGCGCGCGCTATACCTGGTAGCACTGAGAAGGCACCGTTGTGCCAGTCCCGCTCACGCGCACTTCTGGTAGGTGAAAGTCGCACGCTATTGCAGCACACATGCCATTCGCATCACATACAGCAAATATTAGGATCCACAGAGGTGAGTGTACACTTTGTCTTCATGTAAACTTGCAGTGGTTGTTTTGGGTTCTCTTGTAAACTTATTGTTGGTACAACTCAGAAGAAGCTCATTAGTTGCGAATCCTGAGTGCCCTCATACTTGAATTCTAATCCTACTTCACTTAATATAGGCACCTTTCTGCATCTTGAGTGACATGTAGACCTTTGTTTGCAGAATTGGAGGTGCGCTTGTGTGTAATGCAGTGTTTCTGCGAAGCAGACCGTGCTTTCCTGTCCCATCTAGCACAGCCAGAGATGCTTCAGCTCCAGTTCATGAGTTTGCATGACGAGAAACTAGAGATGCAAGAGGTATAATAATCTACAATACTCCAGGAATATTTAAATTCTGTTTCCACGCTCACAAATACTTACGAGCAACGCATTTACCCTCCACCCATGACCTTTCATGTGTTCTCTCAGATAAAACCAGGTTCCACATTTATAGGCTGCTGTCTGCCTTCTTGGTCGTTTATCTGAGCTCAATCCCGCTCTGGTGTTGCCTAGAATGAGACGAGTACTGCTTGAGACCTTGAGTCAACTGACAAATAGCGGTCAAGCCAAGTAAGTTGTTTTTAAAGCTATTTTCTCACGATTGCGGCCTTACGATGGATCTTTATTCATCATGCACGTCTTCAGGCTTGAACAGCATAGTGCCCGTCTTCTTACTCAGCTCACTCGTCAAGAGCCCGAAATTTATGAGACCTTACCTAGGTCCTCTTCTCCAGGCTTTACTTCCGAAACTACGAAACGAAATGAAGGCAAGTGCTTGTTGAGGTTCCTAAGCTGTTTCTCCATGAAGAATGCCAACTTCAGCACGTGGACGTCACCGTTCATGTACTTCATGCCATTTCCGAGCTGTGTGTAGTTGGTGGAGCCGAGATTGTACGAAACATCGATCCAATGTTTCAAAAGCTCACTCAGCTTATCAATGATTCAAGTAGTTTACAGCGAAGAGAGGTGAGCATTTTCTTAACATGCTTCCCTGACTGGACCCGTGCGCATAGAAATGGCTGCGTACTATGGAGCTGCCCGGAATTGTGCTCGAAAAAATGCGAAAACAGGTTGAAAATATTATTACCCTAAAATCCCATAGATAAGAGCGGTCCATAGATAAGGGCGGTTTGTGCTAGTTGTTGTGAAATAAAATTTTAAAAATGTTTATTTAAAATCATTTTTTACCGGTAAATAACACCGCTCTTATCTATGGAATTTTACTGATCGAATGGGCTCTTCAAGTTCTATCCAGAAATCAAGATTCCGGCATTTCTAGAGAGATTCCGGCAGAAATTCCGTTAAAATCGCTATTTTTCTATATGAATTGTTTATTAAGTGGGCGGGGTTTGGAGTTGAGGGGCGGAGCTTCTTCTAAACTTCTTCTCCGATTTTTATTTATCCATCCATCAAGTTAGAGGGGTGACTGCATTCAATTTCAATTTCATTCCAATTCATTTTTCACCGGTAAATTCAAACCGCTCTTATCTATGGGATTTTAGGGTATTCTCAAGATGAGGCAAGTCGGTTGGGCAGAGTGGTCAGATGGGTTGGGCTAGCTCCAGAATTTGTGCTCCAAGTATTTTGATAAATATTGACTCGATTAAAATAGTGATCTTCCTTCTGACGGGAAAGATGGGCCTGGAGACAGCTCTGTGGATGCTTTTTGCTGGTTCCCATCAATCACAGCCGGGACCTCCGTTGGAGAACTCGAAACCCCTATAAAGCTAGGCAATAGCACGAGCTTTGCTCACACTTGTCAAGGGTCTAAAGGTCTCACCAAGGTTAGGCTTGTGATTCAGCAGGAAGTAGCGAAAGAAATTAACGAATATGCAAAATGTCCTTCTCCTTCCTCCCTCCCTAAGCCGAAGAGTACCAAAAGATGTTGGCTGCGTTTCGATTACATCTGTGATTTGCATCCTGACCAGTTGCTTGTTAAGGCTGCTTTGCGTACGATTGGCAGGATTGCTCGCTCCACGGCTTACGTTGTCGATCCATACAAGGACTACCCGAATCTTCTTGATGACCTTCTCAGGTCTGACTTCATATGGAGCTGTTGAATTCAAGGGGTGTACTTGGAAATTCGCTCTATTTAGGCTTCTGAAGACCGAAATGTCATCGAGGATGCGTCGTCAGGCCATCAAAACACTAGGGATTCTTGGAGCGCTGGATCCGTACACGCATAAGGTATCCATAATGAGAAAGAAGGTTTTATACCTGATATATAATTTCTTCACAGATCCTAGAAGTGGAATCCTGTCCTTGGATCATTGCTTTTATTTTTATCAGATTTTTGCAGGTTTTCACGGGTGCAGTCCAATCGGCTACATCAATCAGTACTGCGTTGTCGCTTCCAATGGCAAGAGACGCTGCTGATCCTAGACAAGGTGATGAATCATTCTTTCTTTTAAATTGAGTCCAATGAGGAAAAGCAAGTAACGATGAGGTAAGTCCGTACAGAGCGCGTTCATATTTTGCGTTAGCGTTTGAAATGTACCGCAGCGTCGTATGCTCAAAACGCGGTATCGATGCTTATACTTTCCTAGTAGTTGAAAACGCTGGATCGAGACCTATACCCACCCCCCCCCCCTTTATAGTCGCTCAAAATGCTGGAGTACGTTCGAAACGCTTACACAGTATGAACGCTTTGTGGAGGCTTGCTCCGGCCAACTACATATCCCACTACACGGTTTTCCTCGTTGGTATCGTTACTAGACTAGATGCAAAAATGAATGGCAGTAGAGTGTGTGGCGTCTTCGAAAAAGTCTATCACGTCAACCATTCTATCCTCTGCCACATGCCTCAACTTCCAGAAAGTGTATGACTCCGTTCCAGATATTATTCAGTGGTATAACTATGAAAAGTGCACATTGGAGGAGTTCTATCCAGCAATAACAATCGCAAATCTTATGGTTATGGTAAGACTTCTTCCACTTCCAAAAGTAGTGCACTTATGTACTAAAGACGTATTCAATGTTTCTGTACCAGGTTCAAGACGAGGCATTCACGCAGTACTACAAAGGAGATAGCACAGGCTCTGCTTCACACCATTTTCCGAAGCCTCGGCGATTCATTCCCGCAATATGTTCAGCAGGTGTGTTACTACTCTTGGCTTCCATTGATGTTTTCGGACGTTATATCGGTAAACCTTCGAAAACGGTAGGCCAATACTGAGTGTCAATGAGCTGATGTGTTGACTGCGAAAGCAGAAAGGAGTTTTTTTTTCGAACATTATAGTAGTTCTGAATAGATGTTATGATGAGAAAATGCTGTAGGAGCAATTCTGCTCAAATTCTGATGAGGACTGCACCTTGAGAACCCAAGTTGTTTGAAGTCCGGAAGCTGTGCAAGGAGAAAAATATCGGGGGCCTTCTTGACCATGGATTTTTACGCGAAAATCATACCTCCTTTTTCACCTTATTCTTTGCACTTCTGCTTGCCCTTTTCAGAGCCACAAGGTCTCAGTTACAGTGTTGGATACCAAGGATACGCGCGCGCCCCCTACATTGATGACCTCATCCTCGCTGCAGCCCTATGGGTGTGCCGCCGTTGCAACTCGAATCTCCAGACCCACTCCTCTGAGGACCTTACATTCACCTGAAGAGAAGAGAATGAAGTGAGGGAGAAAAAAAGAACTTGTCTGAAAGCTCTCAAGCCCTTCCACCGTTTATTGTCGGGGAAATTCTCAGAATTTAATCAAATTTATCTTGTATTTTCCAGGAAGGGGTTGTTCTCATCTTCTCTCGTCGCGTTTTTACAGTTAGCTGAACTCTTTCCTTTATAGGTTGTACCACGCCTGATTGAAGTGACTCGTGCTTGTCGTGGCCGACCATCGCATCGAGAGTTCTTCTTGCGACAACTTGCTAGTCTTGTTGCTATCATCAAAGTTCATGCAAAACCCTATATGAAGCAGATCTTCAGTTTAATTGCTGTGAGTTCTCATTTTATGGGCTCAACAGCACTCAATACTTCTTCTCAAAAACTGCCTGCGGCTTGCAGGACGCATGGAGTGAAGATCATAGTGTCAAGGTGACAGTAGTGAGCGTACTTGAACAAATTGGAACCGCAATGGGTCAGGAATTCGCGCCTCACATTGCTGAACTCATTCCTTATTTGCTACGGGTGGTACAGACCGATAAGAGTGAGGATCGTAAACTTACAGCTCAGGTAAGTTTTTGAGTCATTTTGAGTAAATATGTACTGTTTTGCAAACATTCCCTGAATTATTCGTTTGAGGAGATTTAACATTCTAGATGTGAAGTAGTTTTTCTTCATCATTGTCCATTTGATGTGAGCTGCACAGGTACTGTCGTGTGTTCGTTCGTTGTCTGGCTGCTTGACACCGCACCTCCATTTGGTCTTGCCACCAGTACTCATGATACTGGATGACTCAGCGGTGCCGACAGCTGTACGACAGTCAGCTTTAGGTACGATATATGCATCAGTTTGGAAGGAATCCGCTTAGAATCCTTAATCCTGCACTGCTCCATGATTCATTTACGTCAGATCCTTGTGAACAATTAAAATGCTCTGTCTCTTTAATTCATTCACTGAACATGTTCCATCATTTGCGATTGGGAAACTTTTCCTTCCACTACAGTAGGAGAGGAGAATAGGAGGGGGCAGCAGACCTGAAACAGCAGAAACTGACAACTGAAAGTCAGGCAGGCCAACTACTGCTTCACTTTCTCGTCGCGGAATCCTCCAGATTATGCGCCATGGATAGGGAGACTGGGCGGCAGTTTTGTCGCGAAGGGTACAATGCCCTCACTCTCCAGCGCGCTATGGTGAAGAAAACCCCTTTCATTCGCACTTGTCGCGTCTCCTAGTTAGCGCACAGCCTTTAAAATTGACCTCGCCAGTGAACTGAATGTACAGTCGCCCGGAGGATAAGATATCTATCTATTAGCATTACCGGTTCTACACCTGCACTCGATGTGACGATCTTTCCGACTACGCACCGCGGCTCATGCAAACCTGGCAAAGAGGTATATCTGTAGTCGCACTTCAACCGCAACTACTTGAGCTGTTGGTGGAAATAGTGAACCAGGTTTGTCTTACGGATTTTTCCTCAATTTATCCATTTCTGCACCAAGTATGTAGAGATCCTTCGTGACATTCCCAGTCTACACATTTTTTAGTTTAGACGTGTTTTTTTTTGAATCGAGCACTTTCTCAGAAGACAGCTATTCTACAATTAAAAGCAATCATTCAGAGTGGAAACAGTTCGAGGGGTTTCGCGTAGTTGTGGATGTCAAATCTGCGACGTACAACCTAAAGTAGTGGAGGGCTACGAGAAATAGCATAAGTACGATTTTTGCTCTAGGCTGTTTTCGCTGCGCTTGATGCTCCGCACTCATGCGAGGGGGTGGGCGTGGGAGCGGGGAAGGTCGTTCCATGGAATGTCCCATTCTCGCCTGAAATAAGGTCTCGCATTGCGGAGGTTACAAGGAAGGGGAACGTGAAGAATTAGGGACTTAGACACTTTTTTCATCATGATTTTCCAGACCTGGGAAAATTACCATGTTCAGAAACTGCCCAGCAGGCGATGCTGCACCCGGCTGAAAGACCAGGGAAACGTCGTGGCACAGGGAGCTGTTCCACCGGAGAAGATCAATGTCCCGCATACTATCACACCGTCTGCAGCGAAGAACATGGATCAGATTCTCAGTTGGACGGTTAACAAGCAGAGACTCAACATTGATGTGAGTTAGTAATCCCGGAGCCTCATGAATATCCTATGTTTGTAAATAGCCTATACAAGCTTCCGAAACGTTAATTGCACATCAACTTAAAAGTTTCAATGGAAACTGGATTCAAGAAGGTGCTAGGGACTGAAGCATTCAGAAACATGCCAGGAACTTTTGCGTTTCTTTCGGAACTTTTGGGTTGTTGTGCGGAAGACATTTCAGAAGCCGTTTTTTTCTTATCTGCAACATTTAGTTGATGATGTTGAGGTCCCAACATGTTCCGTATCTCTCGTAACTTTTTGCTTCATCACAAATATGATAGACATCCTCTTCTGACGGTTTCCTTCAGGAGTTCCGGGATCTACCGAGTTATATATCCATAAATTCACTCTTCAGGCGGTGGTACGAGCATGGGCTGTCGATTCGCTGGTATCAAAGGAGGAATGGGCACAATGGTTGGTGAAGCTCCGTGTAGCTTTTATCAAGGTAATCTTGATTCGGCTTTGTATTCTCACTTCTTTTTGCTTCCATCTGCATCCTCATGCTATAATATTCCTTGAATATGAACCTAGCTGGTCACTAACCTTGTAGGCAGTAGCACATATTCGGCTGACTTTTCCGACGCCATTGTCTCAGTCTTGGTCAGAGATCTGTAATGGAGATTAAATTTTCCTAGTTTTCTCTGGATACTGTATTTTTCCAGGAGCTTACTACAGTAAAGGCTTTGAAATTTTCAGTCAGGAAGTTCTGCAGCGATACGTGCGGCTGCATCGCTGAGTGATCAGCACCAGCACCTGGCCAAGTGAGTGCTGTGCTTTCTTCCCTTTCACAGCTGACTGTAGTACTATCTAGGGATCTCTTCAATGCTGCCTTCATGTCTGTATGGACAGAACTGACCGAAGAGCTACAAGATAGGCTTACAGGATCCTTACTAACTGTATGTTATTGCTTCCGAATGAGTGATAATTTGGTTCTTTCATGTTGCTTAGAAAAAAATTTGAGAACAATGTTTATTTGGTTCAGCACAGTTTTTTTATTAACAGTTTTATTTCTTCAGGCTCTGGAGACGAGTAATCATCCAGATGTCATTCAGACGATCCTAAACCTAGCTGAGTTCATGGACCACTCTGAAAGGGTAAGCTTGGCTCAAAACAAGATTGAAGGGGCACCTTCCTATGCTCATTCATAATTTTGCACAGCTGATTTTTTTTCTTCCAATGAGAGGCGATAGGGGCTTAGAGGACAGGCATCAAGCTGAACCAGATTGTAGGTTTCCTTTCCAGCCCATGTAGTGTTGTCCATAGTCCCAGAGGTTGATTTGCATTCATCACTTCGCAGAAAGAGACAAGGGTGCGGGGGCCGTCATAAGTTGAAGCAACCTGTTGTGCCGACTTGGCATTCTGGGAACGAGATCAGCAGTTCTGCCCTTGAGCACAGGTGATCTGTAAGTGGTACACCGACAACCCGATGGTCTACTTTTTCTTCTAACTGCCCTTCCTACGCGGATTGTGAGACATTCCGCTATCCTAGCAAAGTACTGGGTGTCGTTGCAATTTTTAGCAAATCACGTCCCCTTAAAATTTCCTCTCTTCTTCCCCGTTCCCTATCGAACCTA